GGGTCCGAAGGCCATGTCGGACGGGAGGGCCAGGAGGCTTCTTCCCTGTGTAAGTCAGCCAACCGTGAGGAGACTCCGGGATGTCCTCGCTCCGAGCTGCAGGATGACAGGCCGTTCGAGCTTTCCACGCTCTAAATTTCGCTCCAGACAATCAAGCCCTCATATCCAGCAATTTCAGTCCGTCCCCTGGCGGGAGCGAAGAGGAAACGACTAGTTTAGATGAAGCTTCTCAGCTGGGACTACCTGGTTGAGTTTGGTGCAACTCCTCTGTTTGAAAGCGAAAACTCAAAATGGTCCAGAATTTTCTCAGTTTTCTAAATAGTAAGCAAGCTACATGAAAAAAAAAACTTTCTGAACACCTAAATCGTGTCATTCCAGAGTGAGGCATCGTTTCCCCTTGCCCTGCCTTAACCTACACTTCCTTCCTTCAAGCCTTCGTCCTCAACCTCCGTCACAGCCACCGTCGTCATACCTGTTGCAATCATCAAACACGCCATGCCTCGTCTTCACGTCCAGAGGACGTTCGTCCTCCTCCTCATAGGCATAGCCGAGTTCTTGCCGCCCGTGTCGAAGCCCTCGCCCCTTGTCCGGCTACCCGTCGACGTGTTCCTCCTCATCGCGAACGAACTACCCCTAGACAGCAAATATCTCCTGTCTAAAACCTGCAAGTCCATCCGCTCGACCTTGGCCATGGACTGGCCCGCGGAGCTACAAAAGCTGCCTCGTGCCGAGCGCAGGCAGGTCTTGGTACGGCTTGCGTACAATTTGCGAGAGCACCTCTACTGCGCCATCTGCTGCAAACTCCACCGCGTCGACGTCGCGGATGTCCCGTTCAACCCCAAATATACGCGCCCCGGGTGCGCTGAAGCCCGCCAGTGCCGTCACGTCGAGAAACCAAAGCCCATGGGGGGCCATTCCTACATCTTAGTGGACACTCACGTTCAGCTGGCACTCAAATACACGCGTCTGGGGGGAGGCACCCACGCCGATTACCTGGCAAATCTAATGAAGCCTTACGTAGCTAAGATTCTCAGCGACAAGATGCGATGTTTCTCTCCGAGCCCGAGTTGGATAGACGCAAAGTGTACAGAAACTCCCAAGATCATCGACGGAAGATTTCTCTACGAAACCGTCTGGGAGTTGCGACACAAGCATGGCAGCCGCCTTTACCTTTATGATTTGTTTGGATGGGCTCGCAGCAACGTTTGCATGCACCACACTCTTCTTACTCTTGTTGGCCAGCTACTTCACCCCTACTACATCCCGGGACGCGGCAGAAGGAACGCATCCGCTTGGGCTATGCCAGACACCATAAGTCAGCGACTGTCTTGTGATAAATGCCCGGCCGACTTTCATGGTCGGTTCAACAACGACAGATGGGTTATCTGTTCCTGGAAAGACTTTGGTACGGAGACAACTACGAATTACCCCAAGAATGGACGCCGGGATATAGGCTGGGCGATGAACGGCTGGAGGGCTGAGTATGTTGAACACATGGGAAATCCTGTGGCCCCTTTCAGTCCAGGGGCTATTGAGGCTACGTATCTGGGGTCGTGTGGCATTACGTGGAAGAGTTTCCTCTGAGCGTGTCCGAGGAGATGTGCAGCTAAGACCACTGGACTACAACCATGGTAGAATAGCGCAATATCCTAATGGCCTGGGAAACGGAATGAACATGGACCTGGGCCAAGGTAGTCGCCGGAAGAAGGAATCTGAAATTGAATACCAACTTAATGTAACCTCACTGGCCCCCAGACTCCAATCCTCCATCCTTCCCACTTCACATATCGTTTCTCCACGCCGACTGTCCGTCCCCTTTTATTCATATTACCGTTACAGCTGCTCATCCAGACTTGCCTGCCTTGCCTCGTACCTCCCCCCAAAGCTAACCACCTACGTCATGAGGACAATGCAATGCTAGTGTGTGGAGGAGTGGTCAGTGGACGGGCATAGTGAGAAAATCCCATGGGGCAGTCACATACCTTCTCTCGCGTATGCTGTCCTGCCCACGCTCTTAGCTTCACCTTCGGAGTCCGAAAGGCTACTAGACCCAGCCACCGTAACTTGAGGTTGAGCTTGGCTGGGTCCCACCCACCCAACCCCCGGTTTTTAGTTGGGATGACCGGGAACAACCCTCCGCTGGAACCCACCCACCCACCCCCGGTTTTTAGTTGGGATGACCGGGAGCAACCCTCCGCTGGAAAACGTCAGAAATGCCTTCAAACAGGGGCGCTAAAGAATCTATATCGCGACTGAGTTCGTTCAAATCCTCACGAAACGAGCGTGAATCCCCTCTTAGCGAGCGTACCTCCCCTCTTAGCGAGCGTAACTCCGTTCTGACGGATTCCAACCCCAAAACCGCCAGCCGCCGGAATTCGTTCCCGTCCTCCTCGAGCTTCGCGATCCGCTTCTTCATTCTCTTCCCCTCATCCCGCATCGAGGCGTCGACCCTTCGGATTGCGTCGATCTCCTTGCGGAGTTCGTCGACCGTTCGCGCCAAGGTCGGCTGTGCCCATTGTCCAATTAGCGGGAGGGGGGAGATCATACCATTGACGGTGAACACCGCCAAGAGGGCCACGATCAAAGCCGACACGGCAGAGATCTACTCCGTCGTGGACGACATGATCGACCCAGTGGGCAAGAATGAATGGGTGTCGCGAATGGGATGGCACGGGGACGTAAACGAGCGGCTCTCCGGGGCGGTATGGGGGGGCAGCGAGTGACGATATTATAGATAGCAAGCAGTCGGCCGAGAAAACGAACGTATGTGATGGGCACAATCGATATTCGATAACGATGGATAAGAACGATCGGATGGCGGACTGCTTAGGAGAAGGAAAAGAAGAGGAAGAGAGGACGAAGCCCCGAGACGCGACGAGCTTGTCAATAAATAGCTGGTTAACCATGTACGTACATGCCACAAAGAAAACTGTCTCGATGGGGAAGCCGTTACTAAGACGTAGTCTACGATGTGCTGCTCGGGGTGTTCTTCGGGAAAGGGCGCGTGAGATGATGTGGAATGGGGAAGGAGTGCCTGACGAATTGCGAAGTGACCGGAGGTAATAGGTCCTGGATGGATTGCATTGGGGGCTGGAATACAGAGTAAGTACCTTCTCCCGGGCGACATATGTGGGTTGCGACTACCCATTGATGTAGTCCGTAGTATCAGATGGGAACGTTCCCTCCTGCCGTAGTTCTCACGCTATCCCTGTCATACGCGTTCTCCCAAGGTGTAGCTTTCTCAGATGTTCAGAAGCTCCAACCCCATGACATAACCGTACCTGCATAGAATCTGGCACCCACCCACAGTGTGCCGTGGCGTTGGGTCAACGGTCAGGGGTCAAACCCCTGAACATAGCCCAGAAATGCTACCAGCGCACTGACCATGGCACTTACTGCTCGCACTGGAAAATCCCTACTTCCAGCACCATTGGCGCGGGGAGGTTTATTGCTTAACGCCGCTACGGATTAATCTAATCACACCACACACCCACCACCACCCCTCCACGCGGCAAACCACACCATCATGGCAGCCACAATCCCGCCGACCATGAGGTCCTGGGTCGTCACCAAGAACGGCGCCCCCTCCGCGGCCCTGGCCCTCGACGCGTCGGCGCCCGTGCCCGCCGCGCAGGGGTCCACCGTCCTCGTCAAGGTCTCCCACGCGTCCCTCAACCCGGCCGACCTCCAGCACATGCTGCGGATCCCCACCATCCTCCCCTTCCGCCGCCGCCCCACCCCGGGCCTCGACTTCTGCGGCACCGTCGTCGCCCTGGGCCCGTCCATCCCCGCCTCGAGCCCCGTCAAGCTCGAGGTCGGCGATGTGGTCTGCGGCGCCGTCCCCGCGAGCAAGGTCGCGCTCGGCACGGGCACCCTGGCGGAGTACGTCTCCGTGCCGGCGGATTCCGTCGCCCTGAAGCCCGAGTCGCTCCCCGCCTCTGTGTGCGCGGGGCTGGGAATCGCGGGCCAGACGGCCGCGCTCGTGATGGCGGAGGCGAAGATTGAGCCCGGCCACCGGGTTCTCGTGAACGGTGCTAGTGGAGGTGTCGGGACGATGCTGTGCCAGATTGTAACGGCGCGAGGTGGTATCGTGACAGCCGTGTGTTCGGATTCGAACGCTAAACTAGTAAAGCGACTGGGCGCAAGCGAGGTACGTTGATTCCCCTTCACTGAGCCCACATTTCGGAGTGTGTAACACCAGTAAACACTCTGCAGGTCATCGACTACATGGCCAACAGCCCAGTGTTTGAGCATCTCGAGGCAGAATACAGCCAGAAGCCATTCGACATCATAATCGACTGCGTGGGGAACCAATTCCTGTACGACATGTGCGCGGCCTACCTCAAACCCACTGGGACATTCATCAATATCGTCGGTGGAGACACTGAGGGCGTCGTCCCGTGGGTTAAGGGCACCATATGGCCCAAGTTCCTCGGGGGGACGCCACGTAGGTACCGGATCCTGGCGCTCCTTCCGAACGGTAACCTGCAGCGTGAGGTGGTCCAGTGGGTCGACGACGGCCATCTCCCCGAGGTGGTTATCGACTCGGAGGTGTCCGTGGATGAGGTGGTCGAGGTAGGTCCAACATCTTCACTGGAAAGGGAGGTCGGGCTATCTCGGCACATCATGACTGACGAGGTTCTGCAGGCTTATGAGAAGTTAGCGAGTAAGAGAGCAAAGGGTAAGATTATTGTGAGAATCGATTAAGATTCAGTGGGTGAAGGGGAGCGAGTGGGTTTCATCCCGGATTGTGTATCTAGACGCGCTTCGTCGCAATCGTGGTTTATAATATATCTCCTATCTAGACTTTGGAGTGCTTAAATAGTATTGGTGAAAAGTTCTGAAGCATTCTCTATGCGGTCCACTCATCAATTTGTATTTAGGGAGCTAACTGAAGCTTCCCTCGTGAGGTTTGGCTAGGAGGTGGGCGTTTGGGGGCGACTTGTCTTCCTAGGGAACAGGCGTATAGTGTCCAGTAACGGCAGCTATAATTCAACCAAGGGCACGTGGCGTAGTGGTATCGCGTTTGCTTCGCACTGTTATCGGCATCTTCCGATCGTGATTGTAAAAGGTCTCCGGTTCAATCCCGGACGTGTCCAATGGCTTTCTTTTTGCCCTTGCATACTCCGTACAATTTTTGTTACCACTGTTTATTTATATACATTTCCCCATTCTTTCACGTCGCTTCTGGATACCACCGGCCCCGGAACCGACTTCTGATCATGTTTGGCGGCCCTCGCATGCTAACGAGACGACAATGTTAATATCGATTCTCGCTCCAAACTCAATTTAACATTAATACGCCTCTCCACCAGTTTACTCCTTGGCGAACAGTGTCCGCGTGGCGCTCTCCGTACAACTATATCGAGGATGTAGCACGTCTAGAGGACTATAAGCCCGGTGGATTTCATGTAATACGAATTGGCGATATTCTTCAGGACCATTATAAAATTGTCTACAAACTTGGTTATGGCTCGTTCTCGACGACTTGGTTAGCCTGTGATCAGCAGCTGGGAAAATACGTTGTTATCAAAGTGGGCACAGCCGACTCTGAGAGGAAAGAAGTTGATATCATGACATGACTATCCAATCTAGCTCTGAAAAGGGAAGAAAGGCCCGTGAATTAGTGGCTCCGGTACTTGATCGATTCGACCTTCACGCCCCCAGCGGGTCTCACCCGTGTTTAATCACCACTGCGGCAAGGTGCAGCGTGGCCGACGCGAAAGATTCTGGGGGATTATTCCAGCTCGATGTTGCGCGGTCCATTTCCGCCCAGCTCGCAATGGTCGTGGCGTACATGCATGGCCTTGGATACGTTCATGGAGGTGAGCCCCTGTTCCCTTCCGATATATGGAGGCTTGCATGTACAGCATGGGCGATTCTCGGCCAGCGGCCCTTCCAAGACAGCTTCCTCCTGGGACCGGACGATGCCACCAGCGACCAAGTTGACGCTCTCGGTCCGCTGCCGCCAGAGTGGTGGGAAAAGTGGGAAGCTCGGTCGAAGAAGTTTACTGAGGGTGGCCAGACTAAGGAGGGCCGGTACCCGTGGACGTTCAATCAGCAATTGAAGAAAGCATCTAGGAACCACGGCAAGAGCAGGGCATGGCGGTGATGGATGAGAAGGAACGGGAAGCCCTTTTCGAGATGATACGGTGGATGCTCTCTTTTACGCCTGGTGAACGACCGAGTGCGAAACAGGTGCTAGAAAAGTCGTGGATGAGGAACTGGGCGATTCCCGACTACGAGAGAACCCGGAAATATCCATGTTAGGGCCTGGCAGTTCGACGAGCTGAAGGATCATGCAGTGGATGAGAAGGGGGAACGTTTTCATAGACAAGGGAGTATTACGTCTAACTAAAGTGGCATTGTGTTCTCTCAAGCGTTGAAGCGTCCTTCCACTTTAGGAGATTATAAATCCAAACATCGCGCTAGTCCGTTTTTTAAAGATCCGTCACTCGAAGCTTAATTTGTGAGGAGGGGAGCGCTAGTATTACAAATCCGCCTCCGACAGCTTCGTGGGGCTGACACTACCTCACTCTGGAGTATCGCTCCCGCTTCCGAAAATGACTGTGTTTTTGGGCATTGCTTGGCTCGGACATAGTTCCTCCGGCTTACGCCGGGCTCGCGCCCGCGGGGCCCGACTTAGTCATCGTTGCTCTAGGATCACCAACCCAGCCCCATCGTCAAAGTTTACCTAGAACTCGTGCTTTCTATCATAGTGACAGCATTGTAAAATTCACGATGCTTCATGGGCGACGATGGACAAGATTAGTGGGGAACGTGAGAGTGTGGAATAGATAAATAGGGAGCTTTCTTCTGCCACAGAGACGAAATAGAACCATCATCATCAGCTAACTACAAGTCCTCAAGCCGACTATCAAACCGCCTCTCTCTCTTCTAAATCTTGCACTCTCCTAAACTCCCACAAAAATCACGTACAAATCTTCCAAAAATGTCCAGCGCAACTTTCCTCGGTCTCGGCAACATGGGCTCCGCCCTCGCCCAGCAGCTCGCAAAGTCCAACACCAACGTAACGGCCTGGAACCGCACCCAGGACCGCCCGGGGGTCAAGGCCGCCGTCGAGGCCGGCGCGACATACGAGCCCTCTGCCGCGGCTGCCATCGCCAAGAACGACATCGTTGTCGTCTGCCTCCTCAACTATGCCGCCCTAACGGAGGTCTTCGCGGCCCTCCCCGAGGGTGCCCTCTCCGGCAAGACGGTCATCAACTTCACCAACGGCACGCCCAACGACGCGAGCGACATGGGCGCCGCCGTCCTCGCGAAGGGCGCGGCGCGGTACTTTGACGGCGCGATCATGGTGCCTCCTTACGTCGTGGGCACCCCCGGGAGTACCTTCGTCATCAGCGGGGAGTCGCAGGAGGCGTATTCCACCGTCTCTGGCCTTCTCGCCGCCTTCGGGAGCGGGCAGTATCTCGGCTCAGAGACAGGAGCGGCGTCGAGGTTCGATAACGGTCTGCTCGTTCAGATGTACGGCATGTTCTTGGGGATGTTCCTCGGCCTGGGGATCATGAAGAAGGGGAGCCCGGACGGCAAGATCGGCTCGTCTATCGATGGCATGGTCCCCTTGGTCCAGGCCCTAGTACCCCTGATGGGCATGATCGCTGCGAGATGGGACGCGGACGAGCATGCCGAGAATGACGGGCACCCGATGAACATGCTGGTTGAGAGCGTTGAAACTATCAGGCGGACGTGTGAGGAGAGCGGGGTCGACTTCGGGACGATGGAACTATTCCTTGAAAGGATGAAGGCGGCGGAGAAGTCTTACGGAGCGCTCTCGGGACTTTCCGCTATTGGCCCTGCTCACTTGAAGGAATGAGGTGGTAGTAGAGCTGGGAGGTGTGGGAGATGTGCGGGGCATGATATATATGGGCTGAGTGGTGGCCAATCGCGTGGTACTGTCAGAACTATAATAGGATCCCCCTGTGTTTTTTTCACCTAGACTAAGATTAAATTTGGACTCGTATTATCACTCGCCCGCTATCAAATAGTATCAAGTCTACAGGAGTTACGCCAGTTCCAATCGTGCAGGCCTTCGCTCCATAGCCGCGAAGTGGCTCTATATTCCTACCAGGAGTTTTAGAAGATCACGGTCGACAAGAGGGAAGGTGAAAACGTACGCAGCAGTCTGGACGCGGATTATTATTGTTACTCTAACCTCCCCTAAACTCTCACTACTTTCCCGCTCCACTCACATCTAGGGGCATCGCCCTCCCGCTTTACGGGATGCCCCCAGCCGCTATTCCCGCAGCGCGCCGCTCCTCGTTAATCTTCACCACGAGAGGACGCTCATGCATCCGGTCTAGCCAGGCCTTGACCCTGGGGTACTTGTCGTAGAACGAGTCGCCTAGCAGACGAGGGACGATCCGCTGCCACGCGATGAACGAGAGGTCAGCGTAGGTGCACTTGTCCCCGACGAGCCAGTCGCGCCCGTCCAGGGCCCTCTCCAGCACGCTCGTCACGCGGTCGATCTCGCCGAGGTAGCGGTCAATGGCGAGGGGGAGCTTCTCGGAGGCGTAGTTGAGGAACCAGAAGGCCTGTCCGTAGTACGGACCCTGGCCGGACACCTGGAAGTGGAGCCACTGCTTGCAGAGGTACTTGTTGGTCGTGTCGTCGTAGCTGAGCTTGTGCTCCTTGTCGTACTGCTCGATGAGGTACTCCACGATGGCGCCGGACTCCCAGAGGGTGAGGCCGGTGTTCGGGTCCTCGATGGCGGGGAGCCGGCCGTTGGGGTTGATCAACACGTAGGGCTCGTTCTTCACCTCCGCGAAAGTGACGAACGTGGCCTTGTAGGGGATGCCGAGCTCCTCCATGATGAGGGCCACCTTCCAGGGGTTGGGGCCCGAGTGGTGGGACCAGAGGGTGATGGGCTGCATGGTGGCTGTAGCAAGGTTGGTGTTTTGAGGGATGGTTTGTTCAGTTGGCTTGGTGAAGGCTGCTGCTGTGGTGAAATAGGAAGACACATTCATGACACTACGGGGAAGACATCGTTATATATACATGTTGTGCAAGTCATGTAAAACGTCGGACCCGCTTTGGCGGTGAGTATTTGTATAACTAGGTGGGGTTAACAACGAACTGCCCTCATATCACGCCCGTCGTCGTCTCGGCGTTACACATGGCGTCTTTTTCCAAGGTTTCAAATGTCTCATAGGTTCTCAACAGGGTGGGCGCCCACCATTCCGAGCTCCGAAGTGGAGTACAGAGGGGCGCAGGCCGGAGTTTCGGAACGGACCATGGAGTCGGACTGTGGCTCCCTGTGCATGACAAATACAAACATAGTTTACGCGTATGTCTGATCGCCTATCCGTACAATGTTGCCGAACCCCACATTATTTAGTCGATCTCTTCCATTTCTCCCCGCCCGCTGCTGAAGAGAGCATAGTTACCCGTCGGTATCGACATCATGGTTCAGTCCGAGTCCAGTCCCGCGGAAACCTTCCCTTTCCAGCCTAAGTGGCATGTTACAGTAACTATGAATAACACCTCCTGGGCGAGGCATAGACCAATTGCAGCCCAGTGGGCCCAGCGACGGTTCCCAATTTATAAGAATCCCCCGCTGCTGACTGGTCCGGACCATGAAATTCGGTGCCAGCTCCATATTCTCGGAAGTATTGGTAGGAGAGTTGTCTTTAACTCGTTTACTCCCAGATAGGTAAGGTACTCTGGCTCTCGCAGCATCCAAAGTGCGGTTTCCGCCACTTTGGCGAGGTGGTAATTGTACAGAGTGGAAATGAACACATGCATCCAGTTTTTCCCTTTCTCGGATGAAATTGGGGGAGAGCGGGGTGGGCTTGAAGGAGTAGCAGCCCTCGCGGATGCAGCTTGCCACTTTATGCCTATGCCGTACTGTGCAGCTACTCTGGGAGCACATGTGGTAGGCAACGTGGTTCTCGCCGTCCGAATTTCACATTCCAGCCCCCGAGCGTTCTCACAACATATGGTCACAACATAGGGGTATTTGTTGGGAATCAATTTTGACCCTGCTGTTCCCCTCAGCGTGCGAGATCTGTGAAGCCGAAGGCCGAGCGCTTTTGAATTTATAAGCAGTCTTCGTGGTGAAGCGACACTTGAGATTTGT